AATATGGTAAGAGTAAAATAAAGATACTGTGGTTTCCATAAACAAAGCTAAAACCACGTTGACACTATTTACAATTTGTGAATGTTAAACTTAGTTTGACAACTTTACAAGCTTTTTCATCCAGGAGATTGATGTAGCTCAGAAGCATCCCTCCATCCTTGGATGTCTATGCAACACCAGAAAAGGAAAAAAAAGGAAGTAAAGTTATTTTATTATTACATCTGAAGAGGCAAAGAAGAAAATTTTCAGTGTAAAACAACAGGTATCTAAATGCTTTAGACATGCATAACTATGACGATGACTCATGAGTCCAGCAGTTCTTATTTACTTGATACCCGTGATCAGTTCCAAACTTCCTACGGTGCCAAACAAAAAGGTCATCACTAAGATGTCTTGTATGGAACAGTTTTACATCACATACACATATATTGCCACATCAAGACATTTTTTGCAGCTAAACGTGAACAAAGCACCAAGCCAATATGAAGGACCAGAAAATTGAGTTGCAAGATTGTAAACTCAGAAATGAAGCCTGGAGTAGGTTTTGCTAGTTTGGTATATATGTATTAGCAAATCACACAAGAAAGAAGACAATTCACAAATTTGTAGTCAGAATCAATCACTGAAATAGAATATATTTACCCCTAAATTTGAGAAAAATGAAAGAAACTCTATCAGGGTTTTAACTTGCACATTATGTGAATGTGGCAAAGTAGCTCAGTTTACCTTCATGAGCAATGGCTATAATTACAATGACGTAGCCATCCAAGAAGTGGCTCATTTCTTTGTTGCATCAATAAACATGGCCCGTGTCCAATGTTCAACGTCTTCAGTTTGTGATGGAGGAGGAGGAAAAGGAGGGTGCTCAATAAGATCCCAACCTTCAATTAAATTTTCATTCCTTCCTACATCAGATACTTCAGTGGCATAAATCAAACTAGCAGTAGAACTTGGAAGAGCATTGTCAAATGTATTTCTCTGCAAAGTTAAGAAAGAAGAGAAATCAAATGCAACAGTAACTAATTACTTTCAAAATTTATTTACGAGAGAAAAACTAAAATAGCATAGTTGCAACACATTATTAGGCCCAGTAGCAAAGAGTTCCATATAATAATGCTCAGTTATAATAGTCACCAAAACATAAACCATCCACTAGTAAACAAAGCTGACACATCCTCTGAAAAAGCAATTCCAAAAGATTTTAAAGAGATTGTAGCTACAAGGTTTCTGGACTCTCTATTCTTTGCAGTTCTTACTAAATTATGTCCCCTAATAAATTTTTCTCATCAGGTTCTGAAAAATTATAAGAAAGCTTAATAAAACCAAGGCCTCTCAGTTGAAATCCAAGAGAGAATTATCTACCGTACATAAAACACTTCTTCAGCTAACTCAATTTGTATACGTAAGCAAGAAAACTCCATAAAGATTTATAAGAATCGCCTAGGCATATTTGAGTTATGCCAGATCCTGCTTATCATAGATATCTCTTCATTGCCGCATTACTGAGTTCGTTGTTCCCTAACATAAGGTCCTTCAATTTCTTTCAACAAACTACTGCATACATGTGAGAAAGCCAAAAAAAATGTAGACGTCAATAGAAAAGGAGATGTGGTCAGCAAGAGTGGATAATGATGCATTTTAGCCCTCACAAAAATTAGGCAATGGCATAATGCTCAACACAAACAAATATTAAATACAGAAAAGCTCAAGTCTTCTGCAGACATGAAACCAATACTAAAAACTATGCCTCTATACCAATACTGGCGCATGTTCACTCTATATATATTCATACAAATATTTTTAATGCCAACATATGTTATGCCGAACTGAATCCAAAGAAAGAAACTATACCAATACTGGCACATGTCCACTCTCCATCAAAGTGCTAGATGACCCGGCTGAATCTACGTTCCAAACAGATTTGTTCAGTTGTTGGACTTGCGTGGATGCCCTACAAATTATAAAACCGAATCACTGAATACGGGCCACTGCTGGATAATCAGAGGCTTCAATGCCATGATAAATAAATTTCTTTCATTATATAGTATTGAGCACAGATCTATAATTATGATACATAAATAAAGGAAATACGCACCTTGAACCAGACATTTTCAAAGAAAACACAGATCGAACTTCCTTTGAAGAAGAAAGTGTAGCCAACAATCTTGCAAATGTTTCGAAAGTAGAGGCTTCGGCAGGAACTTCTAAACATAATGTGTTGTAACAGTATGCAGTAATGCAGGCAACACTTTTCTTGAGAAGTGCTATGCCTTTCTGCAGATCCTTGTGTGATTCTATTGAGTGCAGGGAAGCAGAAGCATAGTTGAAACTACTACTACTAGAAGAATCCAACCGAGGTTTTCTATCAGATTCCATTGAGGTAACTCCAAAGTCACTTGAACTTCCAGAATTACTGCAACTTCTGTCGTACCATGAAGCTTCCCCGCCTGACGAGCAAAAGTTTTGGCGTGGAATAAAAAGTGGGTACTCGCCACTGCAATGCATGACTAACATCAGTAGGAAAGTTTTCATCTCTTTACGGCAGAAAAGGAACAATAAATTTCTACATTATAGTAAAAGAATACCTTCTAGACGACGGCCGGGCATCCCAGTAAGAATCTCGTTGCCATATTCGAGAACATGAACCCTAATGTAATGAACAAAGACACATGAGAAACTAAAAAAGATTGTTGTGGGTTCAAGATAAAACAAATATGTTATCCTTTGCCCATCTATGTACAGTGATTCTGGCAAAAAAGGCGACCTCATTCACTAAGGTCTGAAAGGCACCAGGAAATTATTTTTTGCTATTCCTCTGGCTCTGGCATAAAATAAATCGCAACATTTCTCTAATTAAAGTTTTTTGTACTAAGACAGCTCTGACCAGTTCCATTAATGTACTCTCAAGCATTTGAGGCTAAACTATCAAAACAACGATAGAAGGTTGTTTGAGCATACCGCAAATCCTGAATTATGAAGTGCAGGACCACATACGCAACGCACAACAAGGTTCAAAAGTTGTACCATATATCTGCTTTCAACCATCGAAAATAAAATCATTAGAATATATTATTACTGGCCAAAATGGCTATTCTACAAATAGACACGTAAAAATCGTTGGATAATTATCTCAATCTACTCAGCATATGGATCTGTATACGCATGTTTCATTTCAATGGCATACTACATAACTCAATTTGCTCCAGTAAATACTAGAATATTCTAAAATACACCAGATAAACCATATCGCTAGAAAAATGTAATGCACATGCATTTTCCATCTGGCTTTTGAAATGACTTTCTGTACTCTTAAACCAGCAAGTAGCACTCTTGGCATATCTTTAGCTAACTGTTCATTTACTTGCAGACCACATAGTAACAAGCCCTTGGACCATAAGGGGATACAGTCAGCATTTCATCTTCCAGTAATCCTCTCCATAAAAGGATATCATGGGTTTTGCAATTTCTAGTTAATTTTTTGAGTACGTGGGAAAGCCGTCTTCACTTCCTGTATAGCACAAAGCAACTTGAACCTTTACCAAAAGATCCTCAAATCCAGCCAAAAGACCTATCAACGATACTCCAATGCTTTGATAAACCCTTCCTATAATTTTAATTGCGTGGCCCAGATAAACAACCCTCACCTCCAACCCAAAAAAAGCCCAAGTATACAAAGAAAATTTGAAAATATCACAGCATATTCAGAAGAATACCAAAACCTGAGAGTTTGAAAAAACAAATATATAGGAGCCTGACTGTAGCATCTAAAGCATAATTGTTCAAAATTCCTTCCTACTTGAATGCAAAAACGCATAGGTGGCCAATAATCCACTTTGGTAGAAAAGCCATGGCACTCCAACTCATAGAGGCCAGAATTACTGGGCACTAATGTAAACATTGTTCAAAGAAAACTGCGCAAGATAATAATTGAGCAAAAAGAAAGGGAAACATCCAGATGAGACTATAAGAATAACAGAGCAAACTCATATTGTCACTTGAATAATGGCTCCGCAGATATCTACTCTTGAACGCCACACTCTATGTTCAGAAACTTAATGACTACACAGCTGGAAAAGTGACTTATGTGATGAGCAAGCAAAAGAAATTACCCTAAAGAAGCACCCAGCTCATTAGATGGAACTGAATGAGGATCAAGTCCTCTTGGCAACCTTGCATTACAGATGCTATCATATTGGCCACTAGATGTGTCTTTTTTTTCTCCATCAACTATTACCTGCAACGCAAGATTTGAAACACAAATGTGCTCCAAGTAGATAGTCAACATAGAAAGAGAAAGTTCAAAGTCCAACGTCCTCTTTTCTTGGCCATCGTAAATACCTAACAGAAATATTACTAAGCATACACAGTTCAGGTTTTCTTCATGAATGACTCCACAGTTCCTCCCATATTCTAACAACGATGACCCTATAGTAGATCAAGAACTGCCAACTCCAATTTCCATTTTTCCTAAAACAATCATAACTTCTATATGACGGACATTTTAATTTTAATTTTTTTTTTTTTAAAAAAGGGGAGAATTTACAAGGGCCAAAAATGAAACAGACTGTAAAGCACTTATGGAACACGAACAGGCTAAGATTCATAATCTCAACAATAGTCCGCATTAGATACTATGTTTCAAGAAAATGAAGAACCATGGATCCAATCCACGATAGCTCACATGATCAAACATATAACTATGAAGTTGAATTGGTGAAATAATCATTATTTTTACATAACCACCAGGGAAGCACGGGGTTTGTGAGGTGCAATCCTCATTGAAGCCAATTGCAGTTTTCTTCCCAAAATTTCACTTCAAGTTCAAGAATATTAAGAGTTTGCTAATTTAAGAAAAAGAAGATGAAGAGCCTCACCAATTCAAAGGTAGTAATACACATATATAATAAGAAAAACCTCTCGAAATGACTACCATATCAATATCCATTTTTCATAGTCTTTTTCAGGTACAAGATAATGTAATTCATTCCATTCTCTTGTAGTTTGGATTGAGTAGTGTGTGCCACAATTATAAGCATATATAATTTCTCAAGACTTACACGACGTTGAGGGAATAACTTGCATATCTGCTTTACAACCACAGATTGTTTATGAAGAAGCTCAGAGGTAATTGCCATCTGTGGTTTCGATAAAAGAGCATTAGTAACATGAAAATTTTGTAATAGGTGAGTTAGACAGAAGAATAATTCCTCATATGCCCAAGATTTTGAGTGCAGATGAGATTAGGATAAAACTTCTCAAGTTGTTCCGCACGATTTTTTTCCAACTGCAATTTGATTCAGTCATCAGTGGGCGGGTACATCAAACTATTCATACCAAAATGTGAAATATAAAAGAAAGACTCCATTATACCATGCTCGTCGCTGATCCTAGCAACTCATACTGAACTTTCAGATCATGAGACATCTTCTCGATTTTCGCCTTCCCTGTAAATACATGTATTAGTCTGCTCGCCAATAGGTTAAGATCTGCATACAATTAAAATTGAACAGCTGCCACTAGTAATACAGGACCAAACACCTTGTGAAACTTGCTCTTTCTGTTGTCGAAGCTTTTCCTTTAATCTTGCCAATTTTTCATTCTGAAGCACCCTCCAACTAAGTTGATCATCGGCCTTACCCTGAAGATGACCGAAAGTTCCAAATCAAAATCATGAGATAAATAATGAACAGATGTCTCTTTTTCAGCTACAGGTATACCTTGTAACCGATTTTTTTTTATAAGTAATGGTAAGAATATACCTCATTACAGAATATAAGGGAACTTATATCAGTTTGGGATACTGAATATCTAAGATAGGTAGCATCAACTAGAAGGCAAACATAATGGTAGCTCATAACCCCTAAAGTAATCTGGAAATGGCCTATAGGCAGCAAGTCAAAGTACAATCATCCCGTCTAGCTTTCAGTTGGTTAACAAGACTTTGTTCGCATTTTTGCTAGAATATTATAGCAGCACTGACATGCATCATACTACTCTCATTTTGCTTACTATATTCTTTTGTGCAAATTAAACGCCCAACTCTAATTAATTTTTCTATAAATGTCTATTCCATTCCAACACTAAATAAGTTTTATTTTAAAGAAAAATATGAGTCCTCTAAAACTACGCTTTTTAAACTTCACATTTACATTTACATGGATGTACAAGTCCAAAACTAGGAAAAAAAGACTTTAAGAACACTGGATGGTATGGAACTATCAACTATGAACCCTGTTAGAGCCTTCTATTTGACTAACACACTCTCTTTTAATCTTCCTTATACCTTCATTTCAAAGTTGGGGCCTAATGTGTGTAACAATAACAGTTCCTTAAACCCAACAGATTCACATCGTTCATATGATCTTTTCATCGTCCCTAGACCTACATGAATGTCGAGTCTCTAATTTGCTCAAAAGCCCTCCAGACCATGGATTCCAAGACATTATAAGAGATTATAGGTCTTTTGAGACATCTTCCCTCTATGTGATTTTGTAATTATATATATCTCGTCCTCTTCTTTTCACCTTCAATCATCATACTCTTGCACTATAAGATGGCACATATAGGTGTCTACATAGGCATGATTAAACTATCTCAAGCAATCTTATCCCATTTACTTTCTATTGGATATGACCATATCTCATCTTATCCAATCTTGTATGACCGCATTTACATCTTAACATTTGCATCTATACAACATTCATCTTGTGGATATGTTGAGCCTTACACGCCCCACATTCACTCCCACATAAATTAACAATCTTACAACTGTTCTACAGAACTTGTCTTTGATTTTGTTCCGTGACTTCCTATTTTATAGAACTCCCATAACATTCCTCCATTTTAACCATCCTAAGTTAATCATATGTATGAATTTTTCAACTACCATGCTGTTCTCCTTGATGTAATAAACAGTATGATTAGATTATCGCTTGTGGTATGGATAACCTGATTCACAGAGAATTTCAAATGAACAAACTTAAACCTGCATTAGATCAAAAGGGAAGGCAACTTCTTGAACAAGGTAACAAAAGCATAAGTGACGTGTCAAAGTCCAAATTGAAACCATAACAAGAGAGAACTTCATCAGGGAGTAGGAAAACCTTAGCCAAGAGTATTTCACTTAATCGCCCATAGAGCGCATCCCTCCTGCCCTTCAGTGATTTTAACACAGTGCTGTACTCATTCAATCTGCCAAAAACACATCATCACTAGAATCAGAATCCTCTACAACCCACCCCCCATAACCCCACCCACCCACTTCCTATTGCTTTTGTATTAGTATCCAATTGCCAAAGGTAACTTTAAAATCAAGGACCGACCTCTTCCGAGCCAAAGCTAAAAAGGAAGTTGGAGCTTGGTCCACATCGAGAAAAAACGTTCGTAATGAACGGATCTCCGATGGGCGAGCCTGCCAAGGACACGGAACCCAGCACCACCTACCCGAGCCAAGGTACTCAACCTTTGGAAAGGGTCTTTAATCTGAATTGCGGATTCAAGATGTGGAGGGCTCGAAAGCAGTGAATTTGATTCTTTTATACCAATTCCTAATGGATTTAAACACACACATACATATACTCATATACACACACACACACACACACACACACACACACACACACACACACACACACAAAAGGCCTCAAACAATGGCTTAGGATGAAGCAACTGATTGTTAAGTAGGTCTGCCCCTGTCCAAATTCAGATATTCATCCACATCAATTGCATTGTACATAAAATTTCATCCACAGCCTCACCTGAATAAGTTATGAATAACAAAATAGCAGATTGTAAAATAATACTAGGAACTTCAATTTTTGGATGTTTTTCTACTGTAGTTAAATATTTGAATTACCTGTAATTGACGCAAAGAGGACAAATGGAAGGAAGATTTGAATTCTCACAAATACCACAGCAACTCGTTTTTCTCGTCATCTTCACTGTTTTCAACCCTAGTTTATCTACACACAATTTCCAGAAAACCAGTAACTACCAAAATTCAAACAATTGATACGTAAGTTTCAATATCAATTACAATTTTATATTGTGTCAAACAGAGAACGAACCAATTGTGAATTGGATAAGAACAGGAGCTTAATTTAAGGGGTACAAATAGATAATTTTGGGGTCTCTAATAAGTCTTTGTCGCCGGAGCTCTGATCAGCTAAGGTTTTTAATTTTAAAATTAAATCTTAGTGACCTGGTAATAACTTTGAGTACAAGTATGAAATAAATTGACCAAGCGTTTTTGTTGTAAAACTCATTCATTTCACTAATTAAATTTTACGACGTCATTAGGACTTGGTTCACCTGGCAGTAAGTTTTGGCATAATTAATACTCCCTCCGTTTCAATTTAGATGAGATAGTTTGTCTCGACTCGAAGTTTAAGAAAAAAAAAAAGAAAATTTTGAAACTTGTGGTCTTAAAAACTTAGGAATAAAAGTTTTGTGGGACCATGACATTTGTGTGGTTATAAAAACTTCTCGTTAAAGGTAAAATAAATAAAATGAAGAGTCTAAATTTGAATTATTTCCAAATTTAGAAGTGTATCGTTTATTTTGGAGGTGTTTTCATCAGGCAAGAGTGAGTTGCTCTAGTGGTAAGCACCCTCCAATTCCAAGAGCAAGGTGGGGAGCTCTTGGAGGGAGGGAGACGGGGGTCTATCGGAAACAGCCTCTCTACTCCAGGGTAGGGGTAATGTCTGCGTACACACTACCCTCCTTAGACCGGTAATTTTTGCGTACACACTACCCTCCTTAGATCTCACTAGTGAGATTATACTGGATTGTTATTGTCGTCATTTATTTTGGAACAAACTAAAAAGAAGAATACTTCATCTAATTTGAAACGCAGGGAGTGTACTTCCTCCGGTCCTTTTCAGTTCCATGGTTACTAAAAATAATTAATTTAAATACTTTTCAAATTTAAAAATCCAAATAAAAATAATTTTTCACCTTTACTCTTACTCTAATAAATATTTAGGAGGTTTCAAACGTAATCATTCGGGTTGTGTCACATTATATTTTCACAGTGATGTTATCATTCGTGGTGCTAATGAATAGGAACCTTTCGAAGTCTAATGCAGAGTGGTCCTACAATTAGTATGATGATTTCTATGAAATATAATTATCTCCAAAGAAACTTGCTAACATATTGGAGATAATTTGTTATTGTTACTGAAAAGAAAAGAGAAGATACCACCAGGAGAAAAATTATTCAAAATGTGGATACTCATTTATAGATGTAGTTTTTAGAATTACAACAACAACCCAGTTTAATCCCATTAGTGAGGTCCGGGGAGGGTAGTGTGTACGCAGACCTTACCTCTATCATGGGTAGAGAGGCTGTTTCCGATAGAAACTCGGCTCCCTCCCTCCAAGAACTCCCAACCTTGCTCTTGGGGTGACTCGAACTCACAACCTCTTGGTTAGAAGTGGAGAGTGCTCACCACTAGAGCAACCCATCAAAACAATTACTCCCTTTCGGTCCACTTTAATTGATTTTTTTGGTTGCTTCTACACATATTAAGGACTCCACCTTTTAGCATTAATTAACAATGAAATTGACCATATTAACCTTAATTTGTTCATTCGAAATACAACAAATACTCCTAGGTTCTTTACTCCAAAGACAACTTTGAAAGAAAAAAAGTTAATTCTTTCTTGATATCTGAAAAAAGTCAAATATTATGGACTTGTATAGGGTAAAATATGTTCATATTAAATGCTCGCATAATAGAGCGACACATGGAGCCGGAGACAAATGAAGAGCGAGGCAAGTAGAAATCAAATCCGAGGGTAGCAATCTCGGTTGTCCCCGGAGGGAATGTTACTCATAAAGGCAAATAAATACCTACCACCCGGTAGCATCCAATTGAGAATATTCTGCAATATTAAATACGTAGTCCGTTATACAGAATCTGGCATTCATAGTCTGCCGTCACACATTCTTCAATGACCTTGTTCCTAGGTGCAACTATAAATAGCGAGTTCAACAGCCATTAGAGGGACACGAATTTTCTGATAAACTTATGTTATATATTGTTCAAAAGCTCAATAATATTTCATTCCTTGCTTATTAATATTGATATTACTGCCTTCGAAAACTACGCTCCCGGAATCAGGTTGTTCACTGTCTTATCTCGATTTCAACGTTAAGTCTGGTATTTCTATTTGATTCATTTATTATTTTGGGATCAAATCGATTCGCTTGTCTATAAACCACGTATAAATTTAATTGTACCATTTTGGGGGTAAATAGTTTGGCGCCCACTGTGGGGCTTAGACAGTTGCGTAATAGAGTTGATCCTTGCATATATTACTAACCTCGTTGATTCTTTGTTTCCTATCAAAAAATCATAAAAAATGGCAGATAACGATATCAACATCGCACACAACGTGGAGGCCCAAGGAAATCAACCTCAATACGTAGACTTGATCGGTGATACCCGCAACGAGGGAGACGAGGCCACGCCAGTCCACGGCGGGCAGTATCCACGACATGTTCGAGAGGCAACTCCCGATGATGCTGAAGACGAGCATGTCGCAGAAGCAGTAAGAATCCTGAGCGAGCAACAAAAAGCTATTATGGGTCATCTCTCGCGACAGGATCAGGTCATGACGGAGTTGAGGCAGGCGTTGTCGGGTGCTTCCAATAATGCGAATAGACGAGGCCTAGTTCCTCTCGGTGATCCTGCAAATCAAACAATAGAGAGGGTTGATAACAACACCCCGAGAGGCGAGGTCAGCTTTGACAGGGCCGGGTGAACGGTAGCGGATCCGGTAACAACAATGAGAATGATCCCTTTAAAATCAAATTCATGTGGTTTATGAGGGAAATAAATGCCCGGATGGACCAAATCCCGGTGCATTGCTAGTATTAAAAGGACCAGATTCAAAGAAATACACTCAGTTGTCATTCAAACCAAGTGCAACACCGGAGTTGATCCCGAAGCGATTCAAGATGCCAGACATGACAAAATATGATGGGACTTAGGATCCTCAGGAGCACATCACCACCTATACAATGACGGTCAAGGGAAATGACTTAGCTCCGCACGAGATTGAGTCGGTCTTATTAAATAAATTTGGGGAGACCCTCACGAAAGGGGCCCTGACATGGTATTCGCTTTTACCCGAGCACTAAATAAATTCTTTCGAGATGCTCACGAACTCTTTTATCAAGGCCTATGTCGGGGCCAGGAAGGTACAAGCCTGAAAGGCTGATATATTCAGGATTGCACAAGGAGAATCCGAATTGCTGCACGAATTCATGACCAAATTTCAAAAGGAAAGGATGTTGCTATTGGCCGTACCGAACGAATAGGCAGCTGAGGCATTTACTAAAGGTCTGAATCTGAGGAGTTCTGACACTTCCCGGAAACTGAAAGAAAGTCTGTTCAAGTTCCAATCAATAACGTGGGCAGATGTACACAACTGCTACTAGTCGAAGATAAGAATTGAGGATGACCAACTCGGTTTCCTGGCATCAATCAAGGATCGAGACCGAGAGAAGAATAAGGAAAAATCGAAGGATGATCTCGATGCAAACTGACGGTCTTCTAGAGGTCGGTTTTTGCCTTATGAAAGGGCCGAAGGACGTGGTAGAGGTTTTCGATCGGCGGATAGATTCGCTACCGATAGAAGAGTTAATCGCTGCCGGAATAACAGATCATTGCAGGACAAAGAGGTATCGGGCTCCCGAGACTTCGCCTACCCCAGGTTATCCGAATACAACTTCAATATCAGCGTGGTGGAACTAGTGTCAGCAATGAGAAACATTAAGGAAGCACGATTCCCGAGGTCGATGAGATCCGACCCCAATCAGGGGGATCCTAATATATAGTGAGAGTACCATGGGGCCAACGAACTAGGGACTGTCGACATCTGCGCGAGGAGGTGACAACATTGCTGAGAAACGGCCATCTCAGAGTTCTTAAGCGACCGGGCTAAGAACAACTATGGTCGCAACCAGGATAACACGGAACCTTCAAAAGTAGGAGAAGATCCTCCTCGTCTGACGATCAACAGGATTTTCGGGGGAACGAGATTTATGGTGTAACCTTTTCGGCAGTGAAGAAGACATGTATCAGTGACCCACAGTAAGAGACTCTGGGAAGCCGCTGAGCACGACATTACCTTCACGGAGGAAGACACAGATGGACTCCTACTACCGCACAACGATACCCTGGTAATCTCTCTTAATGTTTTAGATTTTAAAATTAAATGTATTTTGGTGGACCCAGGGAGTTCAACCAACATTATCCAATGTAGAGTCATGGAACAAGCCAAGCTAACTGGAAGCATTATTTTGGCCACAAAGCTCCTCGTCGGGTTTAATTTGGCAAGCGTAACAACCCGAGGGGAAATCGTGCTGCCCACGAATGCCGAAGGGGTAATTAAGACGACCCTTTTCGAAGTAGTAGATGGCGATATGGGTTACAATATGATTCTGGGAAAATCATGGCTGCACGAGATAAAGGTTGTGCCATCAACATACCATCAACTTCTAAAATTCCCAACTCCGGAGGGATTAAACAGATAAGAGGAGATCAACCGGCAGCAAGGGAGATGAATGTGATCTTAATTTCCAGTAACAAAGGGAAGGAGCATGCGGAATATCAATTACAGAAACCGGCACCTGCTCCTGAACCGAACAAAGTTGTCACGCCCCGAACCTGGGGGGCGAGACCGGCACCCGGTTCCTCACGTAACCTAGCATATCAACTTGCGACTAAGGGACTCTGAACATATAATGTCATAATTTGGCCATGGGGCCACATTACAAGACACTTTGCGAAGCAAAATATAAAACTGAATGGAAACTAGCGATGACTAAACATCAATATAAAGCCGGGCCGACAAGGTCATCATAACTACTACAGTTGACAAACCAACAAAATATACATACCAGGCATACAACTCCAACATACTGCACTAGCTGACAGGATATGTCTGCAAGCCTCTACTGATGGATGTATTGTGATCAGAACAGGGCCCGACCTACCCATAACATATATACATACATACAAAAGATGTACACAAAACCCTAGACCCGACAACTCTGAAGGACATGGAGCTTACCGATCAGGCTGAACTCGGGAAACACCTACTGAGGAGGTCTACCTGTCTGTCTATCTTAACCTGCATGCATGAAATGCATGATCCCCAAAAAAGGGACGTCAGTACGAAATAATG